CAAAAAAAAGGAACCCCCAGAAGCAGCACATCTGTGATTACTTTTCATTTTCAATATGGCAGAAGTCAAGTAGAAATATTAAATCACATTACTTGACAACCCTATGTAGCCTGACAATGAAACAAATATTTGTCGTTGGGCTTTATTTTTGGCATTTTAATTAAAAATTGCCCCAGTTGTTGTCGAGGAGACTTCTGTACTGCTGCTGCTATTGGCCTGGCCCAAGTGCAGCAGCACAGAATTCAGTTTGCAGCTAAGGCGGCAGAAGAGGGGAAGAAGAACCACTTTTGGCAGCCACAATGGCCAAGAGAGATAGAGAGAGAGAGAGAGTGTGTGTAAGAGATAGATAGAGAAAGAGACAGCGAGAAACAGCGTCCCAATTTAGCCAGAATCGATGCTGGCAGGCGACAATGTAATCCATTCGCCAGCCCAGCAACGCCCCCTTTGCCTTTTTGGCCCTTACAGCCTTACAGCCCTCAGGTCTCAGTGAAATGAGCAAAAATTAGTGATGATACCAAAGTACCTTATATTGATAATCATAACAATTATAAATACTATTTTCCTTTCAAATTTATGAGCTAAGATTAGTCTAAGTTGAAATCAAATGCAGCATCTTTGCTTATCACTTTAATTGAGTATTTATCAATTGTATCAGTTTCCATTATTGCAATGTTAAAAGTAGTTGGGAATTATAGCAAAACAAGGCCATGTATTAAGCTTGACATTACTTATTAATAAAGTTCTTTGATTTGTCCAACCAAAAAATACCAGTTTTTTTTAAGTTACATTTATGACATGACACCAGAGCTTAATATTGGAAACCCATTAAGCTTAAATTGATTGCCTTAACCTTGAATCAATCAAAATATGTCAAACAATAAATTATTAATCAAGATTCAAACATTTTTTTATATCTTTGTGGTCACTAAGAAATGAAAAATTAAATAAGTTTAATCATTTTGAAAATTTTAAGCTTACAGCTTGATAAACTTATAGTACCTAAGACAATTTTAAAAGTACGGGGGTACTAAATATAGCAAGTACCTGCTATATTACCCAGATAAATTCGCATCACTGGCAACAACATAGTTTCGCTTGAGGTATGCACATCTATCTACCTTTGCTACCCTCTCACCTGCTGAACGAGTTGCCAGGCCTACATTGGGGCATGCCCTCTCCTTCTTGGCCTCATATACATATATGTATAATATATACATACACCTGTCTCTTTCACCGATTCTTATTACGGCTATTATGTATTTTCGTTTGGCAGCGAATTCTTCTAGATTATTGCTTATTGTTATTATGGTTTAGCCCACCTTTTGTTTTTTTTCTTGCTTCTGACTTTTGCTCATTTTTCTGCTGATTGTTTTTTTGTGAACGGGAGAGATTGTTACGTCACTCAGGCGTATTTCATTAACTGTAATTTAATTGAACGCTCCGAGCGAAGACGAGTAGAAATACTTGTATTCCATTCGATAATTACAAATGCAAGTAATTTGTTATTGAAGCTTTTTCGCCTCACTCGATGACGACGACGACGACAAAGCTGTGTTTGTGAACTTGAACGGCGTCAAAGTCGATGGATGGATGGATGGATGGGCAATTGTAATTGCTTGTTCGTTGTTTTTACTGCGGCTTTACCTCTAATAACATTCAATTGATGCAGCGCCAATTAACTGTGACTGCAATTATTGTATAGGAGAGAGAGCCCAGCGATATCTCAGAGGCAAAGGCATTGAAGGCAATTAAAAAATCGTTGAATATTTATGGGCATGGTGCAAGGCAAGGTCGAGAAGTTGGTAGGTTTTCTCGGCCGTCATCAGGTGGTTTACAAATCATCAAAAGCTCAGCCACAGGTCGGACACTATTAGCTGATTAATGAGACGGGAATATTATAGAAATCAAAATATAAATGATTTCAGACTTGGGAATCACAGAAAGAAACCAGTTTTCAAATGACGTTTAGTCGAGCTTCACAGAACTTTGAGGTATACAATTAACCCTAATCATTATACTCTATTTCCATTAAAAAGCAGGTCGTTCTATAAGGAATATATGTATGTATAATTGGAAAGTCTAACTGTTGTTCATTGAGTCAATTTTGATGCTTAGAAAGGTTCTTCTTACTTTAATTAATGATTATTATATACAAATCAAAAAGGGAAGCTCAATTTGGGTAGAAAAATTTGTATACCCTCACAAGTTATAAGATAGAATCGGAAATCAATCATAACTAAACTTCAAATATTCGCATTTATTTACTATATTTTTATATTACAAAATTTAAGAAAAACCAAAGTTTAAAAAACTCATAACTATGCCAAAAATTAATTAATTTTAATTCAGAAAGCTTTCCTCTGTTAGTATTTATTGGGTTAAAAAATCTGCATAGTCAATTTAAAATTTTAGAAAATTAAATTTTTTGTCAAATTTGGACAATTTTAACAATGCAACCCCTTATAAAATTTTGAAAAATTTGAAAAATGTATTTTTCTGCCGGATATAGCTAGATCGATTCGGCTTTTGATGCTGATCAAGAATATATATGATATATTGGGTCGGAAATGACTTATTCACTGAATTTTAAGCTTCTGACTAAAATTATAAAACCCTACAAAGGGTATAACAAAGCACAACTTAACGGGTTTAGAATTCAAGGGTTGACATTTCTATTTCTGATGCTATTCATGTATCCCTGATTGTACTAGAATGTGGTTTTCCCTACCATGTAATATACAATGGGAATCCCGCAAACAATACTCAAAGAAAAGATGATAATAGGACACAGCGTAATAATAGAATCCTCCTTGCGCACTTATGATTTCCAGTTTCCATTGGGAAAACTTGTGTTGACCACATTTTCAACCCCTTCGAAATTACTACGTCGCCGATCTCTCTTCGGGGTGATTCATTCCATCCGTTTTCATTTTGCAAAGCAATTTGGAAAGCTTTTTTGAAATTTTCCCTAGAACATTGAGCACTTTAATTTACCGCCAAGTTTGCAGTTTTGCACTTCACTTTTGTTCGGGAACCCTAATCGACTCCGCCTCCTCCACTTGCTCCTCCCCCCCTTCCCCATCCTCTTCCACTCAAATATGGGGCTGGGACTCTCGGCTTATTAGCCGCCGAGCCGAGAGAGTCTCCGGGTCGGAATCACCGCCGTAACCATTACGGCAAATAGGTTAACAGCAGTTTCGTGCCTTTCGCATGAGCACGGTCACTGCGAGTGTGTTGGTAAGTGCGCGCCTGTGTGTGTGTATTCGCTTGTTTACATAAACCTTTTCTCATTTCGTTTTGGGTTAATTTTTCCCAGTTATTTTGTCCCCTTGCAACTTTTACACCAAGCCAAAAGAAAACTAATGATCATCCTCAAAAATCCTGAAGCTGGTTAATATTTGATTTGCAAACATCTATGTATACAGCAGGAAAATTGATTAAATTAAGGTATTTTTTAAAGCATCGTTTTCCTAGAGTTTTAAAAAGAATGTTGATCAAAAGAAAAGTCCTTAAGAAGTTGAAAAGTATTGAAAAGCTATACAAAATTTTTCCTTAATTAAAATGTTAGGAGTTTGATTTGAAATTTAAAATTTTCTTTTGTTTTTATTTTGAATTTTGAAATTCTAAAACATTTAGAAATATTGTAGCTTTTTAAGCTTAGTGCCAGCCGTATAAGGAATTTCTTTCTGTGTACTTGCACCTCCTACTACGCCTTCTCAGCCTTCCTTTTTCTGTTTCTTTTTTTTTGTAGCTTGGCCTGTGGTGCAGCAGCAATAGCAAAAGCAACAAAAGCAACAACAGCAGCCGTGGCAGCAGTTTAACCCACATACGGGCTGCGAGCTTCGAGCTGCCCCACCGAATTGCGCAACGGGGCGGAGGCAGAGGGAGGCGTGGAAGTGGATGGGGTGGGGTGGGGGGAAATGGAGGGTCACGGGGGCCAGCGGTGTGAATGCAAATGAAACGAAACGACAGACAAGCGGACAATTTAATGCCTATTTGCATTTAACAGCAGCTGGACGGGAGGAGTCGGAGGAGGAGCGGTGAAAATGCGAACTACAAAAAAAAAAATGAAAACTAGAATCAAGTGTCGGGTTAGGAATGAAACGAGCAAATTGACGGACAGATAAACGGACGAAGGAAGCGGAGACGCCAAAAAAAAAAAAAAAAAAAAAAAAAAAAAAAAAAAAAAAAAAAGGAAAGAGGAAAGAGCACAGATGCGAAGGGCGGATGGAGGTGGGAGGCGATGTGCGAAGGAGGTGGAGCAGATGAGCAACTGACTTTGATTAGCATGCCAGATAGCGACAGAGAGACAGAGACAGGGAGAGAGAGAGATCGACTTCGGGCAATCAGCAGTACATATTCATGCCCATGTACGAATGTGAATATGAACATGAGTGTATGGTATGAACATTCCGATGCCACACACTCATAATCTCAATCGAAGCCTATTTCATTTGGTTGTGCAAAGCAAATACAGTCGAACTTCTAAAACTACAAAATTTATGGGAATAATTTGAAGTCACTAAGAAAGTTTTCTTAGTAAACTAGAAAATATTGTTATCCTTGGGAAACTTACATTTAAACATAATAATTCTGATTAAGTAATGCAAGCCATCATAAGCATTTATTATTTCGTAGAATCAATAATTATATACATAATAATAAAATACTGATAATTTAGGCAGTAATCAGTTTTCAGTAATCTTTAAAATAATTCTCAGAACTCAGTAATCTTTACTAAAATACTCAGACATTTCTATATACAAAAAACAACTGTAAAATTTAAATTGATTTAAAATAAAATCAAACATTGTTTAGTTTTAAAAGTTCGACTGTGATTTTTAGAAAGCATATAGAAATTAAAAGAAAATCAAGCATCAATATACCCCCTAATAGAGCTAGTTCTATTTAGCCCTTATGTCATGCTAACCCTGATAGTTACTTAAACTAAGCCTAGTCTTAAACTCTTAATTCTTATGACTAGTTTGAAATATATTCACCTTTTTGCAAGGAGTCGTGCATTCAGCTGCAATTAATTGAGTGTGGCTATAGATAAGGATCAACTAGGTACTCTTTAAACGCTGATGTGCGGATATCTCCTTACTCTCAGTACGCTCAGTACACGGTACTTGTTATTCGTTATTCGCTTTTACTTATTTTTTTTTACTCTTTAAAGAAATATTAATATATATTTTTGATTAATTCAATTATTGTTTCAATTTAGAGACGCGACAGTTGCTTTTGTTTGTTGTTCTTATTTTGTGATTGTTATTTTTGCAAAGTTCCAGCGATTGATTAGGCTTTTGTTATGGTTTTTATTTCTCGTTTGTTTTTGTTGTTTATTTGCTCTGCTGGTGCTGTTGTTGTTGCTGATGTTGCAGAATTGTTGTTGTTGGTTATGTAAAAACAAGCACACATACGCTTTTGTAGGCACACTCTCACACACACGCGCTTATTTCAACACAATATCAATACCAAAATGTGTTTTTTGGACTTACTTAAGCTTAGCGCTTAATTTTTAGTGGCGCCTGCTATCTCTCTTTCTCTGCTTCCCCTGCTTCATCCGCTGTTGCTTGGCGTTTTTCCGTTTTCCGTTTATCTTACTAAACGCGGCGTCTTCTCAACAAACTTTTTCGAAATGAGCCCGAGTTTCAATGCTGTGAAAAAGCTATACTAGCATTTTATTCTAACGAAAAGTGTGGCAGCAGCAGCTGAGAGAAGCTCTCTCTTCGGTCAGGCTCTTACTCTTCTGCTCTCCCTCGCTCTGTAGCTGAGAGAGAGCCTAGAGGCAGAGAGCCACTCGCGTATCTGTGTGCCACGTACACGTGCCGATCACATTTCTGTCTAACAGCCCCAGCGTGTATCTGCAGCTGTATTCGTGTGCATGTGTGTGTTTTCTTTGTCCGCTTTGCGCGCATTTTCTACATTGATTTTTAAAAATTCGTGAGCGCACTCGCGTTTGTTTGTTTTAAAGTTTTGCTGCCGCTGCAAGCTTTTCACGCTCTCCCGCTGGGCTTTTCACTCGCGCTCTCGTTCTCTTGATTTGCTTAATAGGGCACTAGGTTTTTCATGGCAGCGTTGGAAAATTGCTGCACACTCACACCGCCGGAGCAAGACATTTTTGGGGCACTGAAAACTTTTGCATTTCCTGTGCAAGTGCCAAAAGCAAGCAGCGGATGAAAGCTCGACGACGCCGATGAGGGCTGCAAATGTCGCCTTGAACGCAGCGCATTTGCCATTCAAAAGATGTTTTTTTATGACATAATAATTGAGAAATGCGCGGCCATATGTTTGAGGCCAGAAAGAGACAGCATAGCAGCGCGTGTCGAGACAAGGAGACTGAGTTGGAGCGACAGAGAGGGGAGCATTAGAATAACGAGAAAAACTCGTTCAAGCAAACTCAACGAAAAACATTTAAATAAAATATATAAATTATGTATACGCGCTGTGTGCGTTGCCTTTTATCAGCCTGCGAAGGAGAGACAGAGACTGAGAGCGGGAGAGACGCAAAAGCTCACACACACACGCACGCACCGCGGAGAGCAAGAGCAAACTTGTGTGCGTGACACACTTTTATGTGACGTCGTTGATTTTAATTTCGTTTGCTCAATTCCAACGCTTTTTTCGGGTTCTCGTCCGACTTTTGCGTTCTCCTTTGCTTAGCTTATCCTTAGCTCTTTACCTAATTTTCTTCCTCCTTCAAGGAGAAACCCAGTGGAATGTGCGTTTTGTTGATAACATCTGATGGATTAACACATGGTTTCCAGTTGGACACGATTTTCGAATTGGAAGGTGTTAATTGAATTTGTAACAATTTCAGTTTCTCTCTCCTCCTCCTTCTTCTTCTGCTTCTTCGGGTATTTATGTAACCAGCTCGATGGGTGGGAGCGAGAGAGAGCTAGCGAGCGCATGCATAGATACTTTTTGGCATTGAAACAAAACGTACACACACACACACACGGCCAGCAAAGCCCACACACACACACACAGGGCGAGGAGAAGGAGAAGAAGGAGAACTTAGAACAAGAACAACTCAAGAACGTAGAACGGGAGCTTAGAGATACAAAAACACACACACGCAGCACACAGATGCACGCGCTGATTATTCCCTCCTCTTTGTCCTCCACCTATTCTTTCGTGTCACTTGAAAACGCGTGTGTGCATTATTTAATTTAATTTAATTAGATTCCAGTGTCCAACAGCAGCAGCAACAACATCACCAGCAGGCAACACAAACCGCAGTTATTTCTGTGATATATACATATAACAGCACTGGGGATTTATGTGGGTTTCTTTTGTTGTTTTTGGTTTTCTATATATTTTCTATGTAATTTCCAATTGGTTCGAACCACTTTTGTTTGGTTGCGTTGTTGTTTTTGTTTTTGCTAAAGCAGAACCTGACAAACACATGCCCCGCAGCGAACACACATAAACAAACTCACTGGCGACGACGCTCTGACTCTGTCTGAATCCAACTAAACTTTGAATTTCGGATCTGAAACTTGCAAGCAGCTCGCTTTGCTGAGATTTCTGTTTCTGTACAGAAAAATTCCGATGGTCAGTGGTTGCGAGAGAGCGCGCTGTGTATCTGTGTGCCAGCCGAATGTGTTTGGTTTTGTGTGTGCGCCACACAAATACAATTCGGTTTTGCTTTCGTTGCCCGTTTCAGATTGGAAGAGAGAGCCACTGTCGCGCTCTCTTTCACTCTCTTCCTCTCTGAAAACAACCACTTTGCTCTCCATTCGGATTCCATCTGGATTTTTCACTTAGCAGTGTTCCAACTGCGATGCTTGGCTCTCTTCTGGGCCAACCTGCTCTCTCTTCTCTGAGCAAAGAGACTCTCTGTAGGTCATACTGGCAATAACTGATAATAATAATAAATATGTACAAAATAATAGTTATAATAATAGAACTGATAAGGCTATACTTTGTATAGTTTTTATAATTTGCTGAGATTGGTAATGTTGTGAATGGAATAGTTTTCATGGAATTTATAAGTGTTTGTTGTACTTAAAACAATAATAAGAAAAAGGAAGGAAACGAACTAAAATACCCTCTCAGTTAATCTTTAAATATTCGCAATCTTTGATTAATTTTATATGACCATTTTTTTGCCAAATTAAAGTTTAAAAAACCCATAATTAAGTCAAAAAAACGTTAATTTTAATTATTTTAAGACAAATAAATCTATATAATTTACTTATTATCTGATACTATTCCCAAGATCATTATACAAAATCTGCTCTTAAAAAAAATTACCTTTAAAATGAGACTCAATTTATTGAATTTGTTACAAACAATTGTCAAGTTAATATCATTGCCGTTGCATTTGCGTCATTATCACTAAGGCTACAATTACAGTTAAACGTTAAGTTATAGTTATGATTTAGTGATTTTTCTTTTTTAGGCAATATCCCTGGGACGGGATACACCGAAGACAGACATGTATTGCTTGTTGTGGGACTGAAGGGATATCACAAAACGTAAAAACCTAAGGGTTAAGAAAGTAAATTCTGGGGTTACATGAGTGCGCACAAGAGCCGCTGCTGCGTCATATTTAGGTAGGATGGGACCCTTTGTGCCATCCCTTGTGGTGAGGAAGCTTAAATAAATAAATGATACGTAATTTGTGGATTACGCATGGTCTTGTCTGTGGTGTGGCGTGGTGCGATCAGTGCTTAAGTTGAACGTTAAACTGAGATTGCCTGTAGCTTTCGAGATTCATAAATTGTCCTTAATGGGCTGCTTCTCGTTGTCCTTAGCTCCTTCATGCCTATGGATCCGCGACGATCAGCTAGTGTGGCTGCTCACATACGCAGCCGTGTCCATGGGGCACACCTCTGGCGCCACCATAGAGTCAAAGCGCTCCAGGCTCTGTAGGAAGGTGAGCGTAGTGCGCTCGCATCTGGCCGTGTGCGGCAGCAGGTGACACACATCCAACTTCTGGGAGTGATTTTCAGTGGCGCCACACCGCATTAGATTTGTGCGATGTAAGACATAGCCCACACGCTGCGTCTTGGCCGTGCTCTTGGTCAGCCGCCTCATCACGGGCACATCGAGATCCTCGCTAGCTGACACATGATCGCCGCCAAACTGACCCTGTACTCCGATCCACTCGTTCTCTGCGAATATGAACTTGTCCAGCGGATCGAGCAGGGATTGCGAAGCTTTGTGGGCGGCACTGGTTAGATAACCCGCAGGATGCGACTCGGAAGGCTTCTCGCAGCTGTTGATTCGCTCCAGCACCAGACGGTAGATGTGCAGCACCGGCTTGTTGTCCAATACTCCTTGACCGAGTCCTCGCTCATCGTCACTGGCCAGACGACGATCCTGCATGATCTCTAGCTCGCCAGAAGCCAAGGAAGAACCACCCAGAGGTTGGCCTGTGAGGAGGGTTAGCCGCATATTGGCATCTTCAATAAACATGGCCGAGGGAATGGGATAGTAGTTGGCCTGCAGAGGGATTTTCTCCAAACGTCGCCGCTTAATGTGCTGGAGCCCATTGAGATCCGTGTAGAATAGATTATCGCTGTCGATATGCGTCTGCAGGCGCATTACAATCTCAGTGTTGTCCAGCTCTCCAATGTCCACCAAGTTGCGAATTTCTGGAGCTCCGCCACGCAATATTGTCTGATGAACCACACTAGGCAGTCCAACACTCACCGATGACTCCAGCTGGCCCTTACTCACAAGGACCACTGGATTGTTGGGCGGCATCGGTACAGCAGGTCCATTGGGCAGGAACAAGTACGCTCCAGATCGATCTCCATGCTGGCGAGTGCCGTATTTCAGGAACTTAAGATGCACAGGAACATGCGGACTATCCTGGGTCAGCTGAATGGATTTTAGCAGTCCCAGCTCCGTGAAGGCCAAGGTGGGACCATTACCAACCCGCAAGGAGATCTCACGAGGCTCACCGAACTTCACATCCTCGGGATATTCGCCCAAAGGGACGGATATCGGTAAGGTACGGAGTAAGAGATTCGAGGCAAAGGATGTGTGTCTGTAAAGGTCAGTAGAAAGTTTAAGTTAATAAAAGTTAAAGCAAAATATGTAAATCTAATTTGTATCATTAAAATTGGTTATAAAATAATAAGTATGCTCGAAAAAGTATTCAGTCAAGCTCAAAATTAGCTATGACATTAAAAAACCATTAAGATGGTACACAGAAATCGTTTTTACGTTCGTTCATGACCTTGAAAGCGAAAAGCTTTTAACAAAATGATAGCAAAAATATTTCTAAGTGAATAATAATGTTTTACTTCTTAATAAAATCATTAAAACATTAATATAGATAAAGAAACGAGTGGAAAACATGGCAAGAGATATATAAACTCCCCAAAGATAAAGATTTCTCACTCTTAAATTATAAAACCAATTTATACTCACTCTGGTTTACTCTCTGAGATGGTTAAAACATAGGTGGCCAATCCCATGGGCGGTACTCGAGCCTTGAAAATTATGCGATACTTGGTGGTGGAGCCCTGTGGATGGATGGTCTTGGTGAGCGTGTCATGGTGCCAGCTCCACACCGGCGACACTTGAGCCTCCACCGGATCGTTGGTGAGGTGACTGACGCTGACAAACGGACTGGACACATAAAAGTCAACCAGTTGCTCTCGCCAGTGGGGCAGGGTGTTGTGCATAACCACATGCTTGGTTGGCAGCTCATCTCCAAGGATGATGGTGGTGCGACTATCCTCCACACCTGAGCCCGGCCAGCGTGAATCGTCTAGGGTGAAGTATGCGAAGCTATACTCCGGACTGTAAATTGAGGGCTTGGTGAGCAGGCGATAGACCGACTGCTGCATCACTGCCTGGCAGGCCTTCAGGGCTTCCTGCATACGCTGCTCGTAGTCTATTACCACATGCGTTTTGGCGGTGCCAGTGATGCCGTCGTGATGCTGGAACAGTGACAACTCCCTGCGAGCTAGCTCTAGACGCTCCTCGATGCGGGCCATTCCGTCCCAGGAGTGCCAAGCGGAAAGCATCTCGGCCGAGCGGACATAGTGCATAAGCACACGGTCCATTCGCTTGTGATAAGGACGGGAGGTGTAATAGCCGCTCCAGTAGTTGTCCGAGCGATCTGCATACGTGAAGAAGTCGCCACTGAGCGTGGGAAAGGCAGCCTGTCCCACCTTCTCCGCTTGGTGCACAGCATCAAAGTACTCCTGCAGTGTGCCGAACTGAGCCTGCACGTTGAAGTGTGCCTCGCTGTTGATGTGATCAAAGAGCTTCTCGTAGTTTACTCGCTGCACGTCCCACTCGGTGTTCTGTTTGAAGCGGAAATCATCGCCCAGGGGAATTAGCAGCACGTTGGTGCGGTACAGTTCGGCCTTCTTCTTCCACTGATCCACTAGCAGCTCCGAACGGGCAGCCACATTTCCCTCAACGATGGCACGCGGCGGTAATTTCCAGGGACAGCTCAATCCAAAGGCGCCCATCCGCTTGAAGTCAAACTGGCAGCACACCTTGGGATCGGGACCACAGGTGTGCGGTATGTCGTACGAGTAGAAGGGCATCATGTGCGTAAAGATTGCCGTATCGCCCTTGGTGTCCCAGATCTGGCGCCAGTGAAATTCCAGCTGGCGCTGCTGAGCCAGCTCCTTTTTCACAGAGTAGTGTGTGCGCTGGATAAGCATATTCTTGAATCCGCTCTTCTGCAGGATGTACGGCAGCGTGGGACTGTGACCGAAGGGATCGATGGCCCAGGAGGCGGTGGGAGTGACATTCAGATACTGCTTCAGCCATGTCTGGCCCTCGGTCAGCTGCAGCAAGACGTTTCGCCAGTGTGAATTGGCCTCGTCGGTCATCACCCATCCGCCCGTGACGAATTCTAGCTGTCCGCTCTTCACAATGCTGGAAAATAAGAGGTGTGTTTAATTATAATTTTGGCAAAGAACCATTTGGAACAAAGAGTTCTTCAAATGCAGCTGTTTAAGCACCATTAAAGCGAAATGACTTGCTCTTCTATGTTCACAAAAGTATATCAAAAACATATGCTTACGACTTCATTTGCTGTTTTTTGTTCTCCCCTAGGTCGTGGAAGAAGCGCGCAAAGTACGAGATCTCCGCCCAAATGAACTTCATTTCAGGGTTCTCGTGCAGGTGCCGAAGCGCATTGGATAGGATGTGCTTGGTGTCGTGCTGGTAGTAGTCCTCGAAGGTCTGGATCCAACCGGGATCGTTGTGTGAGTGCGGCACCACGAATACCTTCAGTTTGTGGTGGGCGTTGTACTTGAGTGGATCGTACTTGATGTCCCAACCCTGTTTCCACACGCCGCCGTCGATATCTTTAAAGGACATCCTGTCATAAAGCTCCAGCATCTGCACATCCACCTCTGGCACCTCGTGCAGCACATCCTGACACTGGCCCGGCGTCACCGTGCGGGGCACTTTAGGCGGCATTTTTAGCGGCTCCTCCCTGGCCGAGGACTTGGACAGGCGGGCGCGCAGACTGCGCATCTCCTCACCGTGCTCCTGCAGACCGTTTTCCAGCTGCTGCAACTTGTTCTCGATCGCCATGAAGTTCGGCTACAGTGTTCGAAGAGTTTGTTAGGACTTTGCAAGTTTTCCCGACGTTTATTTACCTTTTTCTGATTGGCCGCCGGCGCCGCAAAGTTTAGGATCACATAAAGGCTGAGGAAGACCAGCAGGCAGCCGGAGCAGATCACCAAAGCGAAGCGTCGACGTATGCGCAGCATTTTCCGGTTAATTTAACATGGAAACGGTCACGTCAGAGACAGCAGCCCAACAACAAATATCCAATTGCTTGGAAATGTGTGGTTTTTTCGCATAAACAAATTCGTTCAGTGTGACCGAAAACTTATTGACTAATTATACCCCCAGGTTGTAATAAAAATACCAAAAATGTTAAGCAGAGAGAAGATAAACCAAAAATGTTAAACAGAGAGAACGAGAGAGTTTCTGTTAACTGATTTAACTTACCAATTGGGAATTCTTTCCCAATTTACTTTCCCATTAGGAATATGAATATGACTTAGCTCGTACACACCTTTACATTCCAATAGCAACGAATTTTAGTTTAATGTTTTTGTTATAAGCTATTTCCCGGTTAATTAAGCTTTGCCATTTTCATTCTAGCCTGAAATTAGCTAACCTGACAACCCTGCTTTTGGCCTTGCAACAATAACGGAAATATTGTTATCTATACGAAATAGGATAAACATTTTTGCTCAAGCTTTAAATATGCGGCTTAAATACCTAATGTTACAAAAAGAAAACAAGATTTAAAGTTTATTTAACATGTGGATTGCTGGCCCGATGTTTTAAGAGAATACTGTGTGTTTGTTTTCCTGGCTAATATCGATTTTATCAGATGGAGCATCTTTGCATGTAACAAAAAGGCGCCCGGAAAAGGTTTCCTTTCACACAGGATATTAAACTAATTAGATCCTGAGGGGATAACTAATCAACATAATCATGAAACGACAAAACGTACGAACCCTTTCACTTGTGGTGTGCACCTTTACCTATCTCCTAATTGGAGCAGCGGTTTTCGACTCACTGGAATCAAAAACGGAGGCCAAGCGATGGGAGTTCCTGCAAGGTGACACGTATATTAACTATTAAATTAAATTTATTTAAATATATTAATACATTGCAGCTGTTAAGAATAACTTTGTCAAGAAATACAATGTGAGCGACGAGGATTTCCGGGTGATGGAAATCGTTATAATTGAAAACAAACCGCACAAAGCTGGGCCACAATGGAAGTTTGCAGGGGCCTTTTATTTTAGCACTGTTGTCCTGGCCATGATAGGTAATATTAATAAATTTTTTTATTAAATTAAACATTGTCCTACTAAAGTTGCTTTCTAGTTTTTGAGCTCCTTTACCATTGACAGTCATTTTGTATAATTACTTTTAGGTTATGGACACTCCACACCTGTTACCATTCCGGGAAAAGCTTTTTGCATGGGTTATGCCATGGTGGGTAATCTGAAAATACTCATTTTGACCAATAATACCAATCTCTCCACAGGTGGGCATTCCTCTGGGCCTCGTGATGTTCCAGTCGATTGGTGAACGTCTTAACAAGTTCGCTTCGGTCATCATAAGACGGGCAAAGAGGGCCAGCGGAGCTCGGTGTACGGATGCCACCGAGATGAACCTCATGTTGGCCACGGGAATGCTCTCCTCGATTATTATCACCACCGGAGCGGCAGTATTTTCCCGCTATGAAGGCTGGAGCTACTTTGACAGCTTCTACTACTGTTTTGTCACCCTGACGACCATCGGTTTTGGGGACTATGTGGCCCTGCAGAATGACCAGGCTCTCACCAATAAGCCAGGTTATGTAGCCCTGAGTTTGGTCTTCATCCTCTTCGGCTTGGCTGTGGTGGCTGCCAGTATCAATCTGTTGGTGCTACGCTTCATGACCATGTGAGTTACAATTAATATAAAAAGGAACTTAATTTAATGAGGGTTTCATTCCAGGCAAGCGGAGGATGCCAAGAGGGATGAACAGGATGCCCAGAATTTGGCAGGAAATGCCCAGCCGGTGACCTTTGATGATGAGTCCACGTATAACATGCATGGCAAGCTGCTGGAGAATAACTATACCACTGAGAATGATGAGACCGCCTCCCTGTGCTCCTGCACCTGCATGGGCGGCACTCGATGCCTCAACCATGAGCAGTTCATTGATCCGGACTTCCAACCCACGGATATCATTGAGAGCACCTTTTGCTTGAAGCGCGCCTCCGTCTGATATCCGTACAGCCAGCTGTGGAACTCCTCTATATAGGAACCAGAGCCGATTTATAGTTATACAATCCCGTAGAGACCCAACCGCCGGTTTTGAAACGTTGGTTGTTAGACGAACCTTCCCTACGCAGATATTTACACGTGGATGGGTCGATTATTGTGGATGAAGATAGGAAAAACATATATAGAAGTTGATCAAAAATAGATTAAACTGCACATAATTAAGCATATTTAGCAGCTTTAAAAGACCACAAAAAGCCTAAATACGTTTGGGACTTTGGAAGACATAAACCTTAACAGATTGATTAAAGGAAAATTTATATTACTCAAGAAGTGAGATAGACTACTATCCATATACTAGAAATTCCCCACAATAATCGACCCACTCCCCATATACACACATTTACAAAGGAGGTACCTCCAAGGACCCATGTCAATATCAATCACATCATCTGGTTGGGCGCCCAACGAAGCCTTAGAAGGTTTCGTGGTGACCCCACCGTCATCCATCCCATCTCGAATTTTAGCCCTAAGATGTTTTAACCAAAGCACTATTAAATGTTTTTTGCCCTAAAACAAGTAAGCTGTGATTTTTGAAAAATGAATCCAACCCAAAACCCGGTCATCGCAGTAGGCGAACTATGAAACTTCGGAGACACAATCCCTTGCTAACCTCAGTCCACCTCCGAATCAGCTAGAAGTTACACGTGTATGTAAGCATAAAAAAAAACTAGAAAAATTGTACGTTAAAGAAATCAGTCGATCGTCGGTTTCTGCTCCTCGAAAAACACTTGCCTAATTTTTCCAAAACAACTTTCTTGTCGTATCGTACGAAAGAAAATTTTCCTCAAACCGACAAAATGCGTGAAATCGTGCACATCCAGGCCGGTCAGTGCGGTAACCAGATCGGCGGTAAATTCTGGGAAGTGATATCCGATGAGCACTGCATAGACGCCACTGGCACCTACTATGGTGACAGTGATCTGCAGTTGGAGCGCATCAATGTCTACTACAACGAGGCTACCGGCGCCAAGTATGTACCGCGTGCTATCCTTGTGGACCTGGAGCCCGGCACCATGGACTCGGTGCGTTCCGGTGCCTTTGGACAGATTTTCCGGCCAGACAACTTTGTCTTTGGCCAATCGGGTGCCGGCAACAACTGGGCCAAGGGACATTATACAGAGGGAGCCGAGCTGGTTGACTCTGTCCTGGATGTGGTGAGGAAGGAATCGGAGGGCTGTGATTGCCTTCAGGTAAGTGGATTATGGAAATTGGGATGGGGTCTTGAATTTTCATACATTTTAATGACATCTGTCAACTTGGAAGTATTTTTTTCGCAAAGCCTACTGACATTTCTAACCAGAAATATGCATTAATCTCTTCCTGCAGGGCTTCCAGCTAACCCATTCGCTGGGTGGCGGCACTGGCTCTGGCATGGGCACCTTGTTGATCTCAAAGATCCGTGAGGAGTACCCCGACCGCATCATGAACACCTTTTCGGTGGTGCCATCGCCCAAGGTGTCCGATACCGTGGTAGAGCCCTACAATGCCACCCTGAGCGTCCATCAACTGGTGGAGAATACCGACGAGACGTACTGTATTGACAATGAGGCGCTGTATGACATCTGCTTCCGTACCTTGAAGCTGACTACACCCACGTATGGAGATCTCAACCATCTGGTCTCTGCCACCATGTCGGGGGTGACCACTTGCCTGAGGTTTCCCGGCCAGCTTAATGCCGATCTGCGGAAGCTGGCTGTGAACATGGTCCCCTTCCCCGGCTGCATTTCTTCATGCCTGGATTCGCGCCTCTCACCTCGCGTGGATCGCAGCAATACCGCGCTTTGACCGTTCCAGAGCTGACCCAACAGATGTTCGATGCCAAGAACATGATGGCCGCCTGTGATCCCCGCCATGGTCGGTACCTAACGGTCGCCGCCATTTTCCGTGGACGCATGTCCATGAAGGAGGTGGACGAACAGATGCTTAACATACAGAACAAGAACAGTAGCTTTTTCGTTGAGTGGATTCCCAACAATTGCAAGACGGCCGTGTGCGATATCCCGCCACGTGGCCTCAAGATGTCGGCCACTTTCATTGGTAACTCGACGGCCATTCAGGAGCTGTTCAAGCGCGTTTCGGAGCAATTCACCGCCATGTTCCGACGCAAGGCCTTCTTGCATTGGTATACCGGCGAGGGCATGGACGAGATGGAGTTCACTGAGGCCGAGAGCAACATGAACGATCTGGTGTCGGAGTACCAGCAATACCAGGAAGCCACCGCCGATGAGGAGGGTGAATTCGACGAGGACGAAGAGGGCGGCGGAGATGAATAGGCATTTTTCCTAAGCCTCACACACGCACTGCACTTAAACCTGCTCCACAATCCTGCACACACGCCTCTCAAGCAAAACCACAAACTACAACACTGCACTGACCCCGACCCATCAACGCCACCTATCACCAGTTTGCGCAGCCTTAAATCGAGCACACACACACAGTTTTCTACATTATTTTGTTGGCAATGCAATACAATGCTCGCTCCTAGGTGAATATTACACGATTAACCATATACCATTTCACTTTTGATGCTGCACAACTGTTACCATCTTACCACCATGTGTATAATAAATGTTTACGTTTTGGAATCGAACAATCACTAAATACATATCGTATTCTCTCTCATCGCTTTCCTCCTGAGCACGCTGTAGGGAAGTTCCATATATGAATTTATTTATTAAATTTCCCATTAATATCCCGTTGAGCTTAAAGTACACTCGGACCATGTACCTGAATCTCACTCTGTAAAACTGTCAAATAACAAAAACAAATTTATAATTTTTTACAAAATAGGGTTGTCGGACAATAAACAGCAAGTGTCAATCCTATCACAAGTTTGCCGTGTGCAACCATTCGCCACCCAACTGTCAATTATTATTGTCAAAAAGAAAAGCAGTGATTGGAGAAAATGAACTTAGAAAAGAATAGCAATTCACCAACAACTCCGACTTCGTCTCGCAGTGCCCTTATGCGCCGGCGCAAACGTTCTACACCACATCTCGTCACATTGCTGAGGAATCCGGGCATTGCAAAGGAGCTACGGGAGCTGCAATACGACGAAGAAAATGAGAAAAACTCCTCTGCGGTAGAAGCAGAAACTTCGGCGCAATCGACGTCACAGATCAGCGACGACAGTGGCATCGATGTCAGTCAGGAGGACGACGCAACAAAGAAGCCTACACACAGCTACACCCTCCGCAAGAGATACAAGGATCCTCTCTAGTTGTTTATTCATCGAATGGTGTACATGGGTGTAAAGGAACAAGCAGCAAACAGCAGCAGAAATACTCATGTGCGAACGAAATATACTACGAAACATTGCAGGCGTTGAGATACTTGGTTACAATTTGAAATAAAATATCCACTTTCGAGTCTAGACATCGTCAAAGAGTCCCCTGGGTGGTGGGCCCATGATGCGGCGGTCGTGTTCCGGCTCGTAGTCAGGATCCCGGAATCCAACCTGCACCTGGGTGCTCACACCGAACCGGTCGTTGATCTCCTCCGACAGAGATCTGGGTACGCCCAGGGCGGACGAGGATGCCACAGCCGCATAGTCAAAGCTGCCGTCGCCATCACGCAACAGTCCATCTGCTGGTGTGCGACCGCCAGTCAGGGTGCCGGCTCCTCCACTTCGATACTTGCTCAGATAGTCGCTGCCGCCTCCCAATCCCGGTTCCTGCCGGTTAAAGTCGCGTCGTCTTGTCATTGCCTCCTCGGCACGCTGCCGCCGACGTTTTTCACGCGCTATCAGATCCTTTCCCTCCTGCACCAGCTCAGTGGCAATCGTTTCGTTTTGCAGGAACTGCTGGAACCCCAGTGCATTTAGGGCCCGACTGCCCAGACTAAACCAGGTGGCCAGACAGAAGGCCAGCATGCACATGGGGAAGTAGATGTTAAAGCCGTTTGAGATGATGCCAATGACATCCATATGGCCCATTATCTGCGTGTAAACGGTCTCCATTATGCGGTTGGGAATAATGTGCGTGTCCATGTGGATGAGACCGAGAAAGTTGAGGCACATGGGCGGCGTCAGGCGGCAGAGGAGCATGCCACTGAAAATCAAACTGTGCTCATTGGTCTGATGATGCGGCGCCAAATAGTACAGGTTCAGGAAGCGAATCCTCAAGATAGTCGAGTAGGTGCAGTAGAAAAAGTAGCAGAGGACTGCCATCGAGAAGACCTCGATGGTGAAGAAGTCGTAGTTCTCCTTGGCCACATAGATCACGTTGGCGAAGATGGAGAGCACTGGATGGCGACTGAAGAATGTTAGCTCGCTCCACACCACCATGGCGGACATGGTGGCGGTGAGAACGCACAGCGTCTTGAGAAATGGCGCCTTCAGTAAGCACTCCCAGTACCACTGCAACGTGGCGCTGTAGCATATCCTTTCCAGCTGTGTCCGTTGGCGCGGGAATTCCGACTTGAAGCGTCGCTCCGACGAATGAATATTCTTGGCCACATCCTCCAGATGCAACACCGTCTGCACCTGAACGCTCCACAGGGCCTCGGTGCGCTGCAGGGTCTGCAGGGATTTGATTACCTGCTTATGGATGCGAACCAGCGCCTTTTCCGAGGGTAATATAGTGGAGCTGGTGGCTCCCATGCCACTGCCTCCGGTGCGGGCAAAGTTCCTGCTGGCTCGCTCCTGCAGTTCGATGGGCACCTTACGCAGAATGGTCTCCAGGCAGGGTCTCAGCTCGTGATTGTTGGGTATCACACGGCTGATGCACTGCAGAGACTCCAAAATGTCATCGACATGCTCCTCGGCCTCCGCCTTCTCAGTGCTCAGTTTGGCCGCCTTGAAGTAGGCGTATTGCAGTGCGAATCCCGGCTTGGCATTGTTCCACAGCGACCGTGGCACCTCTACCAGAGCATAGCCCAGCAGAAGAATGAGCAGAAACAGACCCCAGGTGTTGGAGGCGGACGAGGCGATTGCTTTTAGTTTTTGCCAATCCAAGGACTCACCTTTGACTGCTATATAGATGAGCAGAACGCCGCAGATGAACAGGTAAGATCCATAGTAGATGGCATTCTCGATTAGTGCCGACTTTAGCTTTCCCTTCACAGTGAAGTCGCCTGCCTTTAGATATGACTGCATCAGAGGCATGATTAACCAGGTGAGAAACTGCGAACTCCAATAGATGATACGCCACAGATTGGGGAACACGGAGGCGGGCACCATGCCCCACGGCTCCTGGCACTCGGGCGGCGGCGTGACATTGGCGTTGGCCGGTGTTGTGGAGACATTACTGGGTGCTGGGGTGGGTCGATGCTCTTCCAAGCACTGGCGGTAAAGGGTCTGCAAGGGAAATCAAAAATATTAATAAATTAATTGAAGAATTTTATAGTAGATAATAAAACGCTTGACTATTTTTTTATACGCATTATAAACTCAATGTAGACTAAATGCTGGGAAAACTTCAGCGGTGATTCATTCAAAGATAAGAAATCCCAAAACAAAATCAGTGGAAAATGTTGACAATTAGATTGCGGCCTAAAGTCTTTGGTAAAACTGAATTATTTCATTCACAGATGTTTTTAACAAAAGAAACAGTTTTAAATTAATTGTTTCCTTTAGATGTAGACTTAGTTTACTTTATATCTTAACTTAATAATATGGTATCTAGGCATTTACACAATCCATATGGATAAAAGCCATATTATACTATACATATGGAACGAATAACAATGGTATTTACAAACATTAAAAATATTTGAAATGGGAAAACCATAATCACTACTGCACTTCAGTTTTATGCGTCAAAAATATATATATTTCGCTACCCGAACCACAAACTCACCGATGTCACATCCAGCGGAATGGTGAAGACAATTAGGAAGGAGAAACACCAGGCGGTCAGCACCGACAGGGTGACCAGGATGTGCTGACGTGGTATGTTTCCATAGCGGTACAGCGAGATGCTGGCCAGAAAGAGGGCGGCCACTATGCCGAAGGTGAGCAGATAAGCCATGTGTCTAGAATCCTGTCTGCTGCTCCAAACAGTAATCCGAGTTCGGTGTGTGTGTGTGCGAGTGCTGTGTGACTTGTGTGTGTGTGAACTAAACGGCTATGCTTCAGTGATTACGAGCTTATTCATTGCGAGCCTGCCGGCTCGGTGATTTTCCTTGGGTTGCTCTGGCTACTGCGTTTCTTCTGCAGTTGGCGCGCAGTCTCGCGATGCATTTCCTCGAGTCGTTCCAGAGCCTGGGTCTTCAGCGGCATCAGATGCGGCCGGCAAAAGACCAGCTCCGATTTGTGCTCAAAGAACAATTTCCCGGTGGTTGGCTCTATAAGATCGATTTTCTCATTCACTTTCCTCAGCAACTCGGCTGCCTCCACAGCTGACATGCTTTGGCGCTCGACGGCCCGGGAGGTTGGGGTAGTGGGGCTCCGCAGCGGCAGAAGTGTTGCAGTGCCAGGCAACCGTTTCTCTGCTCGCCGTTTTATTTATTTGTTTTATTTAAATCGTGAAGCGACTTTATCAAACTAGTATGAACGTGGGTGGGTGGGGGCCAAGTACCATACACAGTTTGCGGAAGTGTTTGCATTTAAGCGATGGCCCGAGCTGGTCACACTGGTTGAGCGGGCGCCTTTCTTTTGATTTTTCAACATTTTCTGATTTTCTAATACAAAAATATAGTTGTTAAATTAATTCACATATATTTTGAAGTAAAAACCCCATTCTTAGTTCAAAACAATTTAAAACTATTGGCAATCAGAATAACATTCTTGTTTGCTCTGCCCCTTTTGCATCAAGTTGGCAGTCCCGCCATTGTTTTTGTTTTGCTGGCAAGAGCCAGAGAAATTCTTAATTTTAATTATACGAATTTAAGTTTCTGGCACTGCCAAGACCAAAAAATGGAGACTGCTGTCACAGCCTTGCAGGCGGACAAATCCCCAGATTGTCGCACCAGCGGCGATGGCATGGAACAACCGGAAAACACTTTGGTAGCCAAAACAGAGGGTGAAATCGACCAGAGTGCTGATGTGGGCACAAAGGTAAAGAGACCTCAGCTGCATCGCAAAGATAGCACGGTGGTTCAGGAGGCGGTGATGGGCAGGAAAACATCCACGAGCAGTGGCCACGGCTCCAATCTACCACTTCCAGGCCTGCACACCCTCTACAGACGCCCCGACATTGTTACCAGGAGTCTGGCTCCTGCGATGCCCAAGGGCGAACTGGTACAGATGCGACCAAGACTAGTCACCAGTCATGAGACCCTACCCGAGCACAAGAAGACCAAGGCCCCGAAGTTTGTGCCTTTTGAGCCGTATCCTGGTGCCGTGAATCCCATGGTCCCTGGGTCCGGGAACAAGCATAAAATTCATCGTGACAAGAATAACCTGGACATTGCAGTTCTGGTGGATCAGGTTTCGACTTTACGGACCCAAGAGCTGGACGTGGAACCGAAGAACGTCGAGGCCAGCGCAGCCAGCAGCAAAGAGTTGGCCACGCTCAAGGAAGAGCTGGCCAAGATGCGTGAGGAAAGGGACTATTTTCAGGCGCAAACAAAGTTCCAGACGCAGGTGAACAGTGAACTTAAAAGCCTCTTGGTGGCCTCCGTCGGCGAGGATCTGCAGACACGGGTTAATGTTTTGACGGAGGATAAGTTGCAGCTGGCAAGGGCGCTCTTGGACACCGCCAACAACCTTACCACTCACACTGAACAGATCGAGTTCCTCGCCGGCCAGTGCGAGGTGTGGCGATCAAAGTTCTTGGCCAGCAGCGTCATGGTCGAAGAGCTGGCCCGCTGGAAGGCCGATCTCACTCAGAAGAACCAACTGCTCAATGAGTCAACAAAGCAGCTGCTGCACGCAACCCATCAGATTCGGGAGATGCAGCTGGAGATGCTTAAACAGCTCAAGTTCCTGGCCAAGATCCGCTACCTTAACCTGCCCGCCACCGATGTGATCAGCTTGAGCGCCGAGAACCTGAACATCCTGCAACGCATGGTCCTGCACACAGGCGTAGGGATTCCTGAGGAAACCCTCAAGCTGTCCAGTGCCAGTACAAGTCCGCTTTGCGAGGCGGAGAAGTATGCAGTCAGGGTAAGTAGCAAAAAGTTATTTTGTCATGAGCTTTTAATTGATTTTATCTCTCTTAAGGCCTTGGAATTCATCAGTCAACCCCTGATGGCCACCGATGAAGCCATACGAGCTCTTTTCGACCAGGCCCAACGGCCTCACTATGTGCAATCCCCTGCCACGGAGGCGACTGTTAGCGATAATCCTCAACGAGAGGCACAGCAATAATTTATCCATCTTAGGAAATCTGTGTGTGACATGTGTGTTTAGGTGTAATAAATTTTATAAACAATCAACAATTATAAATGCATGGGCCTTCAAATGGAATTATGTTATCCCTTATAAATTCCTCTACTTGGATTTCTTTTCAGTGGCATACAAATCCAAACGACGCTGGCTAAAAACAGGAATCTGCTGCCGTACTTGCTCCACCAGAGAAAAATCGACGTCCGCCACTAAAGACTCCTCGCCGTCGCTGGCACTGTGCTGCACCTTTGCCCAGGGATCCACTACCATGGAATGGCCATAGGCAACATACTCGGCGCTAGTATCCCTAGCTGGCGATGTGGTCACCACGAAAAGCTGATTGTCGTTGGCCCGAGCCCGCTGCAGCAGTTCCCAGTGAAGAGGACCCGTTGTCATATTGAAGGCAGCCGGATAGATGATCATCTCGCAGCCGGCGTTGCGGTAAAGCCGTGCCATCTCCTCGAACCGGATGTCGTAGCAGATGCCAATGCCAATCTTGTGACCATCCACATCGATGGTGGTGAAGTCATTGCCAGCAGACAGAGTCTCCGATTCCTTGAAGCGAATGCCGCCCTTTACATCGATGTCGAACAGATGCATCTTGCGATGCTTGGCTATTAGGTCGCCAGTTGGTGACCACACGGTACACGTATTGTAGATGGCATCGTTCTCGCCCAACTCAGGGATCGTTCCTCCCACGATGTAGACCTGGTGCTTCTTGGCCAGACTCGAGAGCTGCTGTGAGGTGTAGCCATCGGGGATGGTCTCTGAGTACTCCCGGAAGTACTTGGTGCCGTAGGGGGCGTTGAAGCACTCCGGTAGAGTGATCAAACGCGGCTGGTGCTCCTTGACCGCTGCCTCAATCTTGCTGGCTGCATTTTGGACATTGGCCACCTTGTCCTTAGAACCCCTCAACTGCAGCAGCACCAGACGCATTACTATGGGAATTTAAATATAGTCTTAGCAGTCGTCTTGAGTTTAAGAACTACTTACTGTTGCCTGCCCTGCTCATATTGCTACAATTAAATGTTATCTGTTTGCGGTCTGATAACTGGCACCGCAAAACAAAACAACAGGTGATCGCATGGACGTGGAAAGGGGGATTCTAGTAATGTAAATTTTGCAATGGCTTGCGTATAAAGTTACCCCATTCAACTAATTCATCTACTCCGGCTCTGGTTTTCAACTGATTTGGCAAGGCCGTCAGTCACGAATAAAAGGAGCCTTGCCAGATTAATTTATTTCTCAGCCCCGCAAAAAGAATAAATCCAGATTCCGTACTTGTTAATGCAAAATCTTATCTAATTTATTGTGTACTCTAATAGGATGATCAAACACAACACTTGTCAGTTATCTCCCTTCCCACTCTCGTCCAGACTGCGATTATATTGATCTTCCGTGACTATAACGCCATTCATTTCAATAAACCGCGTGTGCTTGCCAATGCCAGCTTTAATAAATCTCTTGGCTGCATGAACATCCAAACGTGGGGCATTCAGTGCTGCGGTTATTTCCTTATCACGGGCCAGCATTTCTCTGGAACGTCCCAAATCGTGGAGGACAGGATGCTTCGCGGGATCCACACCATGAATCTTCAGGTTTATCCAAAACAGAGTGCTGTTTAAATAGGCTATATAGGTGTCCAGCTTAATCTGATCGTCCAAGGATAATTTAGGTCCATTCTGGAATGCTAGCGCCTTTTCCAAATCGGCTTCCAGAACTGCAATTGTGGACTCGAAGTTGTTCAACACGTTTTGCAGATCTGTGTTCTCTTGGAGGGTCTTCTCCAGTTGATTACTGTTGTTGCCTTGGGGTTAAATTAATTATAAATATAAATATATAAATATAGTCTTTTTTAAACTTACCTTCTGTCATCTTCTCTTTTTCAATTATATTTATTTTGATGTATTTTTTTTTTTTTGTTATTTTAAAGCCAAACGATAGTGTATATATGTATTTGTATTCGATATAGTGTTGCCAGTTCAGCTGTAGCCTGCCAGTGCTAGAGAGTACTGAAAGTAGAGGTGGACATGGTCTTTGGCTTTCCAGCCCTGCTCCCAAACAATTAACATATTTATTTATTAGCATGTACTTGTATTAAATTTAATTGAGATAAAATTATGCAGAAAATTGACGGTAAAATTATTGTACATCTAATGATAAATGGTAACATAGATAGTTTTAAAGCAAATTTAAATAGTCCGCCCGGCACTGGCCAGGTCGTGCCAAAAACGCTCATCTCTAACTGAAAAGCAGGAAGCGCAGCCAAGTTCAATTCGCTAAACCCCAGGGCTGCCAACTTTCTTTCTAGTTTCGATCTGTTGAGGTACGCACGTGTTCATTTTGTAAATTTAATGAAAATTGCCGCAATTCGCCATTAAACAATTGAAATATACCACAAAATGCTGTCCCGCCTGCCCCCGAACTTGCGTAACATTCAACTAACAATGATTTACTCCGATTTTTCATATATCACCGACGGATTCCGATTGTGGCTACCAGCAGCAACAACAACAATATGGTCCAACGTCTGACGCTCCGTAGGCGCCTGTCCTACAACACCCGCTCCAACAAGAGGCGCATGTAATTTAAAACCCACATCGTACATAGTCGCCAGAGTGTAATATTGTATCCCTTGCTTTCCAGTGTGCGTACTCCCGGTGGTCGTCTGGTGTACCAGTACGTGAAGAAGAACAAGACCGTGCCCCGTTGCGGCCAGTGCAAGGAGAAGCTTAAGGGCATCACCCCCACCCGCCCCAGCGAGCGTCCCCGTCTGTCCAAGCGCCACAAGACCGTGTCGCGCACCTATGGCGGAGTCCTCTGCCACGGCTGCCTGCGCGAGCGTATCGTCCGCGCTTTCCTCATCGAGGAGCAGAAGATCGTCAAGGCCCTGAAGAGCCAGCGCGAGGCCCTCGTCAAGCCGGTGAAGGCCCCCAAGGCTAAGCCCGATCCCAAGAAGAAGCCCGCCACCAAGACCAGCAAGGCCGGAGCCGGCAAGGTCACCAAGGCTGGAGCAGGCGGCAAGGGACCCGCTGGCAAGAAGCCCGGTCAGAAGCCCGCTGCCGGTGGCAAGCCCAGGAAGTGAACGCGCGACGATTTTAGTTGACTGCTAAATAACTTTTAAAATAAAATGGTTTTCCTAACTGGATTTGATACTCGATTTTATAGTTATTTTGTAAGAGACTAACGGTGTGAGGGAGGGGTGGAGGTTGCATCTTATTGGAGTCATTTTTGCAATTTCCTGTTGGATTTTTTTTTACATCAGGTGGCAGCTCCATATCTGGCAGCTATTTCCATCAGAGTTTTGAAATAATGTTTTTTTTCTAATAAATATGACAAAATTATATTTAATTTAATAAAACTAGTAAAGGTAAACATTTTGTTTTTGTATTTTTTTTAAGTGATTTTATTTCAGCTACTTTTAATGATGTTTATTTCGTCGTAGTGGCAACGCTGCAGGAAACAGCTGTTTGACAGCATTTCTTTGCTTTCCAGAAAAATCACGTAAGTCGCCGTTTGTTTTGATTTGCTCCCAACTAAATATTTGCCTTTTGTGCAGAATGTCAGGTACTAAGGTATTGCGCTCCCTGCTCCACGAGCTGAGACAGGCCTCGCCGAATGGCTGCATTAAGGACAACCTGGCCGCGCGCTACATTCTGGCGCAGTACAAGAAGTTTGAGACGACGGACCAGCAGCTCTGCAAGGCCCGCAACGAGGCCATCTTCCTGGGCCAGACGTACCTCACCTACCTCAGTAGCCAGCGAAACTACACGGAGCTGTACAAGGAGTTCCATGGGAGGGGAGAGCGGTCCGTAAGGGACACCGCCGATATGGTGGGCTTCAAGCTGCCCACGGATCCCAAGTGATCTGGAGTTATGTAGGTTCTAGCGTAGCGTGCGATTAAAGCGGTTAGAGTTGCAAAAATCTGTGATTTTATTTCGCCTACATAATCATCTGCCTAAGCATGGCTATAACGCGGTAAGTGACGCTCATTACCTGAGAGGAACAGCGGATTTATGACCCTGCTGAACAACACTAATAAAGTTACAACTTACCTGCTTGAAGGTATCCAGCGATATGGGCAGGTAACCCATGGCACTTAGCTCTACGGGCTGCTGGGCCCGGATGATAATAATCAGCAGCCACTTTTTGTATGATATGGACGCGTTGTGAAAGTCATGGTTGTAAACGGCATGTGCTATGTTTGAACTCTACAAAGGATCCAAGTTATAAAGGTATTAGCAACAATTATGGAGGAACTTACCAAGTCGAACACTTCTTGGCCATAGTAGCAGACCAAAAACACCTGCAAGGCCGAGGTGGCAATAAAAAAGACATAAGTAACTCCCTCTAGGGTGACCCCCTGTATCAGAGTGTAAACCGATACCGTACAAAGAACAGAGGCTGTGGTCAGCAGACTCAGAAGCAGTGAACCCCCAAAGATGCCATTGAGATCGTTTTGTAGCCTGAAAATTTCGATTTTCATAATCTCTAATGAATTCCCATGTACTTTTAATTCACTCACTCGACAAGATACACATGCTTATCCACTATTTTTGCCACAAATCGTCGGTCTTCGTCCTCACGGTCCACACTGGGCTGATGATCCTCCAGCGAACGTATAATGCCCCTTAAGTGCATATTTATCTGCACTTGAAAGTAAATCAGCCAGAGATCCGTAGCAACGTTGGATATAACCATCTGTGTGCTATGCAGCCACTCCACGGCATAAATACCCACGTAGATCCATGCAGAGTCCTTCTCGGGATCGAATATAAAGTAGGGATAGCAGTGCATGTAGGTAAAGCCCCTGTTTGCAAAATACGATATAGTCGACGTTATAATCGGTCCAATGACTACCATTGTAGATGATCCGATATAAAAGAGGATGAGGTAGACGAACATCTTGGACCAGTAATGTTCATTCACCCGATGATAAACCTTGTCCAGCGTAGTCTTTGGATACAGGTCTGCCAACTTGGTATTCAGGCTCTGGATGGCTCCGCGCTGCAAGGCAGTGGCGTACTTGGTGTCCGAATTGATGACATAGGTGACCAGTGTTCCATAGCGCATGATCAGCGAGACGTTGTTAATGGTTTTGCCCTCCACCATTCGGAAAATCATGAATCCCACACAGAAGCCATGGCAACCGAGGCACAGAACGCGATAAAGTCGCATCATTATCCGGCGGAGCCGAGTCTTAGGGACACCCAGCATGTCGTAGCCCATCATCCGGAACACGACAGTGGGCAGCCAAGCAAAGTCCTCGTAGTTGTAGTGCACTGGTTCCATCACGAAAACGTTTTGAGGTTTCCTTAGGCAAGTGGAGAGGCATTTATAGATGTTAGATCCTGTAAGAATAGTTTGTGGTTTAGGTTTTTTACCATGAACACACCTGCTGCCCCTTATTACGTGCTTGTAAATAATTAGGCAGGGTGCTAAAAAGTATAAATAATTAATTTTCAGTGTCTCAACTTATTATAAGATAATGAAAAGGCTTTCAGTTATTTCATTAGGCTAAATATATACATTTTAATTGTAATTGGTTGACCTTTAAGGAAAGCATTACCACGAATAACATTTGAATTAATGAGCATTTTTATAACCTTTCAGGGTATTTTAATTTTAGTCAGAAGCTTAAAATGTTATGAAGGAGTCATTTCCGACCCTATAAACTTTATATATTAATGTTAAATCAGCATCAAAAGATGAATCGATCTAGCCATGTCGGGTCAATAATCAATTTTTGAATTTTTTTCAAAAAATTTATAAGGGGATAAAATTATCAAAATTGATCAAAAATTTTAGTTTTTTAATATGATAAAAGCAGTATTCAGTTTTATAAACCTAATAAAAACAAGCATACGAATTGTTTCCGAATTAAAATTAATGCTATTTTAGCTTAGTTTCGAGATTTAAAACTTTTAAATGACTTGTTTTTATGTTAAAAGTATTCTTATAATTATTTAAGCTTTTAACTGCATGGCAAAGATCAGACGATAAAGAGAACATGTGAGTAAAAATTGCCATTAATTAATTTCAATTAAAAGAAGCGCTGAATCAAAGTTGCAATAACCAAGGCCAATAGGGTTATAAGCTTTTTATGATTCTGAAATAAAGGTGATTTAGGTCAGATATATATTTGTTATTGCATAAATATTTAAAAAATGTATATAGCAGGAATATATATTTATAGAGTATAGTTTTATACCCTGTGTTTGTGACCATTAAAAGCTGTGATACTAAGGGAATTCCTTGTGGTTTTACACCTTGTATGGCTTAAGGTTATCAATTTAAAAGTTAACTAAGTAAAATTCCAACTATTATTATAATATTTTAATAAGTAAAGAGGAATTGGAAGAACTCTTTTTATAAGAAGACAGAAATGTAAAGGTTTCCCCATTGAAAGTCTTGTAATTTTCCATTGTATACTTTGTTTTATTCCGTTTTCTTATTAATAAAAACTTTCTTGAATTATTGCCTTGTTTCAGTACCCATTCCCTGTGCCTTCCATTAAAATATTTACGCATTATAATGCTATTTGTGAGGGAGAGGCAATGGCCACCACTTGGTCACTGGTTGCACTTAATAATTTCCATAAATGAGCTCCTCCTCAGTACATTCTCTTGGGCGTTTCTACCGTTTCTTTATTGTTGTTCCCGTGCCGTTGCACTTGTCTTTTGTTGTTCACATTCATGAAATTCTTGGGGCATAGCAACAAATTGGCATAAGAAAGAGGAGAGTTGTTGGTATTGGAGAGACGAGACCCCCACCAGCTATAGGTTCTCTCCGTCATCTGACTGGAATGTTAAGCAGGTGCCAGGAGGTATCTCCGAATGGGTGAAATATCAGGTGAAAAAGTGATACCTAGGTGTTAGTCTTAAACACCTCAAAGTTGGAAGATAACTTGGACTTGCATTGCACAAAAATAACTTACTTACTAAGAAAATAATGAAGGAGAGTCTCACTTATAGTGTTAAGTACTCAGTAACTAAACCTTAATGTATATCAATCTTTTTTTAATCTTTAATTCAATACAGAATCTTATCCAGTTTCTAAATAAATACGTAGATATTTTTAAAGTACGTAAAGAGTTGCGGATATTTTGGATAATTTTTCAGATCAAATATGATCTTTAGTATTTAAAAAGCACTACTTCTACTCTCAAGTACAAGTTTTTCGTAGTTCCAGCTCACAGATCCATTGTTAAATATCTCCCCAATGCTTTTGTTTTGATATTCCTGCTCAGTGCCAAGGCATCAAACTCTTGTTTATTGCTGTCATATTATTGCACAATTTTCCAGTTGGTCATCTATTGTTTGTCAGTTCCGAAGTATTCTGGCTCTGCGCTCTATATAATATATATATATACAAGTTTCGACCCATGTTGAACTTCTCTCATCAATTTTACTGTCGTCTTTCCCTGCTCATGTACATATGTAATTTATTCATTAGCTTCAATTGCCAGTCAACTGTTGCCTCCCGGTTCTATTTGGTTCTACAGAGCAGGCTATATCTGTAACCGATGCCCTATATCCGCTGCGAGAAATTGCACTTGCAAAAGCATCTCAAACATTAATGGGACATTTAAAGAGATTTATGTATGTACAATGCTCGGCAGCTATGCGTCACGATCCCCACTTGTCTGCTTAAATTAGAAATTAGAAAATATTCAGGCCGCCTGTGTCCCAATTTTTCGGAGATGAGTTGGATCTGTGCGTGTGATGTCTGCAAATAAATGAAAATCCTGTCAAGTCATAGGGACACCGGAAAGTGCCCCGGTGTCTCACTAAATACTTTATGAGGCCGAGGCGCCTTTGTAAATCTCTTCTTTTTTTCCCTCGTCTGGCTTCAACTAAAATAAACACAGCAGACCGGGACCGGGACCCGGATCCCGGACCCGGTCCTGGTGCATAGACAACGGCAAACACCCTAAAACCCAGAAGAAAACACACACACAACAAACACACAAAATGAAAAACAACAACAGCGGCAGCAGGAGAGATGAATGGCTGGTGGAACAAAGAGCAAGCCGAGCCAGAGACGTATACATGGGCAACAGGCTGGCCCAGAGACGTTGTCTGGCCAAGAGGACGAGCAGGACATGGAAGCCAGGAGGAGGAGGAGGAGGATGAGGATGAAGGTGGTGCATCATTTCCCCGGCAATCAAATCCAATGGTCAGGGGTTTTGTCCTCCAACACGGCAGCATTAATCGGCATAAAGTACAATTTCTCACACCCTTTTCCAAGTACCAATGCGATTTCAATATCCATTATTCAGTCAGAGAATGGGGTGCTGCAGTACGAAGTGGAATGGCCACACACAACAAAAATGTGATTATTTTTCTGGTAAATATTCTTTAAAATATATAGTAATTTTAATAAAGATTTACTGGAAAAGTAATCATCGTATGTTAGTTGTAAATTTATAAGGCAAAATAAAGTTCTTTCTGAAATTAATTCTTTCTAATAACTTCCTATATATGCATTATGTTATGGTTATTTTATGACTGGAACTTATCACTTTCCAAGTTAAAGATTGTTACTTTTGGTATAAAATAAGTATTTGTATAACCAATTTATTAAAGTTAAATCAGCGTTTAAAAAAATTTATTTACAATTAATATTCAAATCAAATAATAATATTCAAAACTAAGAGAATAAATTAAAAGACCAAACACATAAGCGACATTTAGAGCTTGACTAATCCTAAAATCCCCAAGGGATTCCAATGTTCAATATATAATACTTTCTTTAAAAGAAATATTAGTATATTTTATTATTATTATTTATTCAAAACTATGTTAAAATTTCTCTCCATGCACTAAAGTGAACCGTCTGACTTTTTTCAAACAGTGTTTGCATTATGCGGCGAACAGGACCAGAACCAGGACCCCATCGTAGACCACACAAGGACAACAAAGACCAGGAGCAGGAATGATGGTGAGGTTATTGCGCTTTTCACTTTCCCATTTATTAATGAATTTATTGGTATGACTGCATTTGATGCGCAAATGCATTTGCACATTTATCGTGAAGCTGGCAGGATTCGTTCCAACAGGGGGGAGCGGAAAAATTAAATGGATATAGCCCACTTGGTATGGATTGGCGAGGACGAGTCAAGGGTAGATCTACGCACAGCATTTATCATAGCTTTTGTTTTGGTTACATTACAGCTGCTTCCGTTACCAGGACGACCATGGCGTGGGTGGGTGGATGGACAAGGACTATGTACCCTCCCCTTGGATCCTGGTAGCTGTCAACCAAAAAGTGCTGAACCTGCGTAATTAATAGTGCGGAAATTTTGGTAATTCTCCGATTACAGATGTCTCTGTGCAAAAGGAGACAAAGTTAGGGAAGAGAGATAAGAGAGTTAGAAATTTAGGAAAGTGTATTTTATAACGATTTCTTTTTAAATTCTTATTTAGAAAATTTAATGGAAGTCAAGAAATTTAATCTGCACTGCAATATATATTTAGTAAAATATAATTATGGCTTGTCAACTTAATACCAAAAATAAATGTATAATTGAATTCATTTTTTACATTCAAAGATTTATAATATAAATTCCTATAGTCTTAGGTTTAAAATATAATACTATTACTATAATATAATATATATATAACATATACATATATGTACTATACTATATCTACTAGGTTTATAATATATAAATACAGTCGAATCCCGATAATTCGTACCCCGCTAAATCGAAAATCGCGATAATTCGTAAAAAATTCTGTCCCCTTGAAAAAAACTCGTTAATTCGTAAAAATTCCATACATTTTGGTCCCCTCATTAATTCGTAGTATTTGGCGCAACGCAAAGAATATTGAACCTCTTAAAAATCGTAATTTTGTTTCGAAACCTCTTATAAATCGTAATGCGATGCGAAATATTTTGTAGTTAAAGCGACGTTAGATTTTGCAGAAAAGATAAAGCTAAATACATATGTAAACATGATGTGAAATGTAAAAACCCCCTTTATTCGACTCTTTCATTTTTGAGCCCCTTTAAATAGAAATCTCGATAAATCGAATTCCCGTCTAATTCGTAAAAAATGTGATCCCCTTGCCATTTCGAATTATCGGGACTCGACTGTAATATAAATGTCATGTTTAAGACTTACCGCAGTAGAGGACACGTCATTGTTTACTTCCTTCCAGTGTTGTGACCAAAAATGCTGATTCCATCCAAAGGGAGCTTCTTCCTAGTCATCCAGATGTATTGCATTGGCCACGTCATATTTTTAGGCCGAAGGCTGATCACTTGCACTATCACTTGAGATGTTAACACTAGGTACCCCTAGGACAGACTGAGGAGCGCGGGCCCTCAGCGCCTCTATTTATAGTCCGCGAGCAGAGCAGAGCAGAGCAGAGCAGAGAAGAGCAGAGCAGAGCAGAGCTGAGCAGAGAAGAGAATGTGAGTGCGTGGGAGAGAAGCTGT